AACTAAACTAGAGTTAACTAAAGACAACTATAACTAAACTAGAGCTAACTACAGACAACTAGAACTAAACTAGAGCTAACTACAGACAACTATAACTAAACTAGGGCTAACTACAGACAACTACAACTAAACTAGGGCTAACTACAGACAACTATAACTAAACTAGAGCTAACTACAGACAACTATAACTAAACTAGAGCTAACTACAGACAACTATAACTAAACTAGGGCTAACTACAGACAACTAGAACTAAACTATAGATAAGCAGGGTTAAAGCAGAGTTAAACCAGGGTTAAACCAGGGTTAAACCAGTTAACCAGAGTGAACTGACTGGTTACAGGTGAATATGGTCTGACAAACAGGAAGTAAAAATCAGGAACATGTTTAAATGAAGCAGATTCGTTGTTTTTTACGGCTTCTGTTTATAACATCGCGAGCAGGCGGACTGAGCTTTCAACCATGTTAGCTGTTAGTTAGCCTTTATTAAGTTAGCGTTTATTAAGTTAGTTGTGAGTTAGCGTTTAGTAAGTTAGCTGTTAGTTAGCGTTTAGTAAGTTAGCTCTTGTCAGATTAACTCTGTTTACCTTCTCGTTCCCGCCGAGCCGGCTGCATGCTGAACAAGTTATAACCAGACCTTTAGCTAGTTCGTTAGCTCCCTGGGTTAGTTAGCTGCTGTTAACCAGTTAGTTAGCTGCTGTTAACCAGTTAGTTAGCTGCTGTTAACAGACTAACTAAACCTTAACTTTAGCATGGTGAGCTGCGCGCGCAGTTAGCCGCCGCTGCTAGCTCCGCAGCTAGTTGCTCCAGCAGGTAGCGGCTCACGGCGCGGTGTCTGGCCGGACAGGACGGCCCGCTGTCAGCCCCACTAACAGCAGCTCTCCCACCGGTACCAGGTGCTCAGTGACCGCGGACAGCTCACCTGTTCCTGCAGAACCGAGCCAACAGAACAAAACCGAGCCGACACTCAGCTTTCACTCATGAGTGTGGCTTGTTGGGTGGGCGGGGACTTGAATGGCGCCCACCGCGCTGATTGGAGGGATGCTGATGACGTAACATTGTTCCGTCACTCCTCTTCTTCATAGAGCTAAATAACACTAGAGTGAGCCTGCTTAGTAAACATCTGTGACAACATGGAGGAGTTCAGACAGAACATTTAACTAACATAAAGCCCAGCTGGACCTGTGTCACTCATTTAATATCTTTATAC